ATTAAAGTATCTGTAAGAAGTGGAAATGTTAAATTTAAAAATTAAAAATTTACTATTTGCTTTGGCTTCTTCAGAGAAGGATTTGAACCTCCCATCTATGTGCAGGTATAAATATATACACACATTATTTTTTTTACTCCAGCATCTTTCACTTGATACATAAACAAGAAATAATTCATTCTGCACAGGTGATTTTGCTAACTTATATTCTGTCTGAAAGGACCACAGATTTTCATCATTTAATGTAAACATTAAAGACTTGAGTGTTTCAATAATGTTGAAGTATTAAACACTTAAGTTAGAGGTCATCCTCTCATGTGCCTCAGCTAAGGGGAATTCCTTTAAAACACAAAACCTACACTTATAAACTATAACCACCAAACAATATTCTGCTCCATGGCAAGTAACAATATTCCTGACCATTCCCTGCATGCACACAGCTCTGGAGAAACCCACTCATCAGGCTACTCCTTTTAGAGCTTTTGGATTATCTTTAGGCCTAAAACCAGGTTAATTAAAGAGTAATCAGAGCACAGCTTTAATTGCAAAACAAGTGATAGGAACAGATTTCTCCATGCTGTTCCTGAACAGAATTTCCACAGAAAGTCCTGGAATGCTTTGAATTTCTATGCAAACCATTAGCAATTCTCTGTGAAACCAGGCAGAGCTGAAAACGGAGCTGCAAAGGCTCCCAGGACCTCAGTGAGGCTCTGCTGGAGCTCCAGGAGCTGCTCCTACCGCAGTTTTCCCGGATCCCCGGGGGCCGATGATGAGGGCGGAATTGCTCTCCCCGTGCACCGTGGTTCTCTTCAGCACCTCCAGCAAATGTCTGTGGTGAAAACAGAAACAGGCGGAAATCCTCAAAGCTGACAACATCCCCCAAACCCAGGGAAAATTCAAAGAATAAAACTCGATCCACTTCGGCTTGCTGCGAGAGCCAACACCCAGGGCATGCAAAATGTAATACAATCAAGTACAAAGGGCTCAGTGATCAGAGCTCTTAAAATATTTTAAAATATTAAAGCATGAAAAAGTTGGGAGTATCACTAATTCATAAAGTTCTGCAATTCTCTGCCATGAAAGGACAGACCTCAAGAATGATTTCTTTCTCTAAGAAATAGATTGCTTTCTGTGCTACCACTGTTCCTCACCAGCTCTAAATTACCTGCAGATAGACTCATCACCTCAAAGCACATTTAAAGTGCTTACAGCAGCCTCTGACACCTGCAATTCCCAAATGCTTACACATCAATAATGTGCTTTTGGAAATGTGGGATACTGACTTCTGCAGGGCTGAGGGAGTCCTCATGGAGCAGCTGCAGCCAACACGTGTGGCTTTGGTCACTGCTTGAGAGCCAGGCCCAGCCAAGAGCCCTGACACATCTTGGGAAGGAAAAATCAGAGCTGTGTTTTCCCTCCAGGATAATGCACTACCAGTGGCACATTGAGTAGGACACAGCCTGTAAATTGCTTTTCAGAATTCCAGTATAAACAGGGGAGGCTTGTTTTGTAAAACTGACATAACAGAACTACATTTCCTCACAACAGCAATAAAATGCCTATGTGAGCTCTGCATGTACTGTTTTAATAAATGTTTTTGTCCCTCTTGTAATGAAAACTTGTGCTCACATCAGGTGATTCCACTTATATAAAGTCAGTCTTGGAAAAATTAGTTTTTAAAATACAACTGCAGAATTTGACCTGCATCTGTCCCAGTACTGATTATTTTACAGTGTTATTGTCCCACTTAAATCACTTCTTCCTAACCCTAAATTCCCCATCTGGATGGCTCCAGAAGTAAGTTTAAATATTGGTCTCTACTTCAACAAACACGATGTTGGCACAGAAATTTTAGGATTTACTTCTAACACAGTTCACCAACAAACAGGAGAAAATCTGAAGTAGAAATAAAGTATCACAGCAAGAGAATGTAACTTCTTGCTCTGCCAGGCCATTACACAAAGTCTTAGAACTGGCACTGAAAGTATCAAAAAGAAAAGTGCTTCATGAATGAGAGATGCGAAACAAGGACAAGAAATCCAAAACTCAGAGCCTGACAAAACCAGCAGGCAACAGTTGTATAAAAACTACACAATCTGAGGCAAATAACTTTTGGAAGCACTGGGTTGGAAGTGAACCTATATAACTTAGTAAAACAGAGAGGCAGAAAGTTCTGACTTCAGCAAACTATTTTACCACTGCAGTTAAATTAGAAATCACTGAATCCTAGAGCCTGCTCACTCACCTGTACTGCTGCTCCATCCCAAACAGTTTTCCAGCAGCACAGTGGTGACAGAATCTTTCACGTAAGATTTTTTGCACCTAGGGATGTAACACAGCGCAGGAAAAATGTCTGGGGCTCCAAACACCAGAATTTACCAATCATGTAACTCCAGCAATAAAATAACAGCAAATTAGGTGCTTTTGTGGTGTTAGAAAATATTCTATAATACATACATTTTTACTGTTACCAAGGATAGAATGGTCTTGAAAGTAAGAATAAAGTTACAGGAGGCAGAGTATTGTATAAATATTATATAAGGGAGAAAAAGCAATTAGAAGATATTAAAACATATAGGAAATCACTGATCCAGGGGTAATTCCTTGCAAGATGCATTACAGGTTTTAACCAGCAACTTTGAGAAAACAGGAGAATAAAGGTTAAAAAAACCAAAACAAATTAAAAACTGATTTGGCAGCTGCTGTTCTGCTGCTAAAAATGTCACCTGGGTTCTGACTCACCCTACAAACTGGAAGATAAGAAAACCTAAATGGTCAAAAATAGATTTAGGCAAATCTGTTGCCACAAAGAGTTGCAGAAGTACAAGAACATCCTTTAAGTTTTTTACTGCATTATAACAGTAACACTTGAAGCAATCAACAGGTGGGAAGCTGAAACACAGGGACAAAAGCTATTTAGTGCCCTAACAATTGTATCTGCCAGGCTTTATAACTGGCCTAGGAAAAAAGATAAATTATATCAATGGCACAGGGTGGAAAAGGTCCAGAATGTGAAAAGAAAGTAATGAATAAAGGTGTTACTGACCTGGGAAATGTTCTCAGCACTTTCTGCACTGCTCTCCTTCAACTTTCGCTTGTTTGTTGCAGAATGTTTCATCTTTGGAGAAGAGAAAATAAGCATTTCATTAATTAAGCATTTCCAAACAATCCCAGTCCGAAACTGTACTTAGATGTCGATCATTTTTAAGTACTGTAATGAACATCTGTTCTTAACTAATAAAGATGCAACAGTCCATCTCCCTAGTGAAAAACAGCTGAAAAACACTGAAATAATTTTAAATTTATTCCTGATAAACCTATGTTGACACACATCTCCTAAACAGCACTGGCTTTAGGATGCTTTAGACAGTTTAAAATAATGTCCTTATGTTTCTGCAGCTGGAACAAGCTACAAGCACACGGGAACACATCAAGACAAACAGTTAAGTTTTTACAGGAATAACTGGTCATCCTTGTTTATAACATTAACCACAGCATCTCTCTGGACAAGCTGGCTCTGAAGGGGTCCTAAGGGGATTGGGGGGGTCTCTAAAGAGATTTGGGTAGATTCAGAGGGGGTCAGGGGGGAAAACTTTAGGGATTGGGGGTCCTTGAGGGGGATCATGATGGGATTGAGAAGTTTGAGAGGGTTCTGAGGGGGATTCAAGAGGGCCTGAGGGAGGCTCTAAGGGGGATTTGGAGAGGAATTACAGGTCTTGAGGGGGACTTAGAAGTGGTCCTGGGAAGGGTTTAGGGGTGGTCCTGAGGGATTTGGAGTGAGGAATTTATGGGGGCTAGGAGGGTCTGGGAATGCTCTGGAAAGGAATGGGGATGGGGGCGAGAGTGTCCATGAGGGAGCTGGGGAAGGGCTGTGGGAATGGGGAAGGTGGGAGGTCTGATTTTTCGGGGCTGGGAGAGTCCGTGACGACCCTGATGAGGGAATGGAGATACCTCAAAGAGCTTGGGAGGGTCCATGAGAGGCTGTGGGGGCGCTGAGGGCGGGTTTTGGGAGGACCCTGAGGAAATGGGGGGAGGCCCGACAGGGCTTGGAGGGTCCTGGGGTGCTGTCCTGGCCTCACCTGTCCTCCCCTCACGGCGTGTCCCGCCTCTCCTCCATCACCCGAGGGCGGCCACCACCGCTCGCACGCTCCCCTCAGCCCTCACCGGGCAGCCAAGACCTCCCCCCGCCCCAGCAGCCATTCATCCCCCTCAGAAACCGCTCCCGCAGCTCCCTCCTCACAGGCTGTAACCGCGGCTCCCTCAGAGACGCCGGAGCCCGAGCGGATGAAGGGCGGGCGGTGGGGCGCATCCTCCGCTGCTCGGGCACGTCCCGCCCGGCTGAGGCGGTGGCTGAGGCGGAGGCTGAGTTTGAGGCGGAGGCTGAGTTTGAGGCGGAGGCCGGCTCTCCCTCACCTGCCCGCTCTGCCCTCACGGCGCTTTCCCGCCCCCCCCCCCCCCCCCCCACCTGAGGGCGGGGCCCGCCGCGCACGCGCGCTCCCACCGGCCCGCGCGCGCGCCGCCCCCCTGACGTCACCGCGCGCTGCCCGCTGCCCTCCCTTTCCCTTTCCCCCTTCCCCTCCCCTCCGCTCCGCTCCCGTCACTTCCTCCCCGTCCATTTCCATCCCCCCTCATCCACTTCCTTCCTCCCCATCCCGGATCCGTTTCCGGGAGCGGCGCGCGCGGCGCTGTGGGAAGTCGTCGATCTCCCCCAAAATCCCCAATTTCTCCCCAGACCCCCCCCCAACCCCCCCCCCCCCCCCCCCCCCCCCGGCGCCCCCCCCCCCCCCCCCCCCCACCCCCCCGTTTCCCCCCCCCTTTCCTCCCCGCGGCCTCCCGAGCTCCCCCGGGGCGCATGCGCGGTGGCGGCCGCCGCTGCTGCCTGCCCTCCTCTTCCTCCTCCTCCTCCTCCTTCTCCTCCTCCTCCTCCTCCTCCTCCTTCCCGACAGCGGCGGCGGCGATGAGGAGGAGCGCGGGGGGGGGCGGCGGCGGGACGGCCGGTTGTTCGCGCCGCTGAAGGGACGCGAAGCAAGCAGCGCCGCGCCGAGGCGGGGGCGGGGGGCCCCGAGTCGCTGCCCCCGCCGCAGCCCCGCCGGGGAGTTTCTTCCACATCCCCCCTCAAACACACACCGAGACCGCCCCCCCACCCCCGTCCCTTGGGGGCGGCCCCGCGGAGCGCCGCTCCCTCCTCCTCCTCCCCCTTTATTACCCTTTGTGTGCGTCTCCGCCTTCCTCCCCGCGCCCGGGGGCCCTGAGGTGAGTGCGGGGGGAGCGGCGGGGCGGGGGGGGCTGTTTGTTTACCCCGCGGTTACCCCCCGTTTGCCCCGGGGGGCACCGCCTGTCACCCGGGGCCCCTTCCCGGCGCCCCCCGCCCCAGCTTTGTTGTCGGGGGATGCTCCGGGGATGCTCCTTGGGCCCCTCCGGAGCGGCACGGGAAGGGGGGTGATGGTGGCGGGGGCGCCGGGCAAAGTTCGGGGTGGCGCGGTGGGTGCTGAGCCCCGGCCGAGTCCCGAAAGTCTTGTTTTCCTGGGATAACACCCAGCCCCGGCGTTGCCCCCCCCCAGGTTCCAGGCCGTTGTTTGACTTATTGTTTGAGTTATTAAACCCCTGCGGTGGTGAAGGTACAAAGACCACTTGTACAAAGACCCTTTCCCGAGCTCAACTTCCAGGGATAGGCAGTCCAGGAGCTGGACTTGGTGTTTGCAGGGTTAGGATGTGGTTTGGTAGCAGCCCCTGGTTATCGGTGGTGCCCGGCTATATTTGGTCAATGGTTTGTTGGGATATAGATGTCGGGATGTGTTTTTCCATGGCTTTCTGCTGGGAAGGCCAAGCGTCTCCATCCCCGCTCACGGTGTTGGTCAGGTGCTGCTGGTGGACTGACCTGACCATGTTTTCTGCTGGTTCGAGGGAAACTTGCGTGTTCCAACGTCTGAAATGGGTTAAAATGCAATGGCTTGAAATGTCAAACTAAATTCTGGGCTCGAGGAAATGTTGGGAGAAGCCTTCTAGATGTTTGCAAGGATCCAGAAGTAAGAGTTGGGGCATTAACACCGAGTTGAAATGAGAAAGTACCCTACACAAGGAGGATGTTTATATTGAAATTGCTGTTGTCTGCTTATTTCTGGGGCTTAATTATGTCCTCTGTAATTTCCAAAAGACGGTTGGAGTGCTTTGGTTTATTTTAGGCTTATTATTTTTGGTTTATTAAGTGCTGAGTGCAGAACCACGGAGTAGGCCATGAGTGTGTGCTCCAGAGGGGCATCCCAGTTAAATGGTGGTCAGCAGAGAATGTGTGTCACTGTGCCCCATGCTGAAGGATGCCCACAAGAAAGAGCTCCCCTGACATGCTGGGCTGTCTCCCATTTCTAATTTCTACCCACGTGTCTGGCGTGAAGCAGCAGTTTTGGGGTCGGGCTGGGAAGGGTTTGTGGGAGCTGTAATTTGATGGGGTGTAAGGAACAGGAGAAGACCAGAGCTGGATTGATACTGGACAATGTTGTGATGGAGAATTGGAGGCAGCAGCCATAACTGTAGTTCTTTCTGATAGTTTGCTGTTAGTTTTATTTTTGCTTGTAATAACTTTGGGTTTAAACGTGTGGGGGAAAAATCTCAACAGTGACAATCCCCAAAATCAGCAGATCTGTGTATAAACACCCATGATTTAAACATGTGATTTGCCTTTTAGTTTACTACAGGTAGGAGTTGGACAGCAAAAGCCTGTCCAAGAGCAAAGGACATAATTTCATGGTTTTATTTCATGACAGTGCTGCTTTTCTCAGCCGGAGATCCCATTGATCTGCTTTCCTCTGTACATGGAAGCCTATAGTGGCTGCAGGATTACATTCCCCGTGTATGTAGAGCTGCAGCTCTGCTCCCAACTTCCACATCCTACAGTGATGTGATACAGTAATTATTACAAGGATTTAACCATCTCCTTGTGTTTTGGCCTTTAAAGTACCTATGGTTTGGTTTAATATGGCTATACAGTAAAATTGAACAGGATTCTGAAGCTGGGCAGAATAATTCAGGGATTTTTCTTGCTTTAAATCCTAGAGATAAAATTACTGATGGACCTTCATTTCCATAGGCCTGCAGTCCTGCAGCCACGTCTGTGCTGGAGAGAGAGCTGTGGGATTGGGGTGGGAAGGGCCCTCTGAAGGAAGCACTGCTGGGACTGGGATTCTGGGTGGCAATTCCTGCATTTCTGCAGGCTTAGCACAAAGGGGTCTCAGGCGAATTTGGGGCTTCTGGCTGCTGTCACAGCCTTCCAAGAACCGAAGGAATTGAATGTTTCAACCTGTTCTAGGAAAGATTGTGCATTATCAACAGCTGTAACTAAAAGGCAACACAGTTTCCTTTTATTTGGGGTTCCTAAGCACCTTTTTGCTACTGATATCAAGATATTTACAGGTGATGATTGCTTTTAGGAAAACTTGTTGCAGATTTTCCAGATCTTTATCTTTGGGGACAAAATTAATAATTATTTTGCTGTATTTCTGGGTCAGTGGCTCTAAGGGCAGATAGCTTGGAATTAGCAAGGACCTGCCATGGCTGTGCTGAGCATAAAGATGCTGTTTAGGCCTGACTTTAATAATGTTTCTGTGGAGTTTGCTGCTGTGCCTTCCTTCCTTTGTGGACACACGAGTTGGTCTCTGTTTGGATTAGGGAGGCGGATGTTTGAGGAGAATCTTTATGATGCAATACCTTCAATAATTGAACTTTTCTTGTACAACTTGCAGTCATTTCATTCTTGGGCTGTGGAGGGATCAGTGTTTCTCCTTGTTCAAAAGCACTGGAGATCCTGGCATCAGTCACAGGCCTCTCCAAGGTGGAATGCCTTGGGATTCAGCTGGGTTATTTCATTCACTTTCTCAGTGGATTTATTTTTTTTTCCCCCTACTATTTCTCATGGTTATTCCTTCTTTGTGGAAGCTCAGTGGCTGGAATACAGTCTGTAGGTCCACCATGAGTTTATGGATCAGCAGCCAGTGGTCCCTGTGGAAAGCAGCAGGCCAGGTGGGAGCCCTCCGTGCCCATCTGGAGGACACTAATGTCCCAGTGTCTCTCTATGGGCTTAAGAGGCCACGTACACAAAGCAGTTCAATCTCATCTGTTCATGGCCAGGGACACAAATTTTTGAAAGTGGCTGAGCTTCCTTTGCAAAAATCCTGTCAAAACTTTGGGAAAGTGGGGAATTCTGTTTGTTCTTTCAGGCTTGTTGGGTTGTCTCAGGGTTTAGGTTTGTTTGGTTGTCCCTGTGTTGGTTCTTGTTCGGTCCCAGTGGAAATCAGAATTACCATTGCTTTCAAAAATAAAAAGATACAGGATACATTTATTTCCTTTTTAATGCTCTTATGCCATTAAGGACCTGCTTATTCTTTTAAAGGGTTACTTGAACATTGGAAACCACAGGCTCTCATTGGCTTTTCCTTGTTTTTATTTTTGGAACTATTAGGTGGAATAATACTGCTCAATCAGTTTCAAATGGGCCTGCACAGGAACCAAGGCTGGTGTTAGGGGTGAAATTTTGGAAGAGCATTGGAAAGAGCTTTCAGGATGCTTTAATCTTTCTTTGCCTATCTGGAGCTAAACAAAGAAGGAATAAAACAAAAAGCAGCAGTTAAGAAATTGAGAAGTGCTGACTTCTCTTGAATTTCAAGTTCTTTATTATAGCAATTCCTATTTTCTAGATGAATTGTCTAGAAGGGAGTTCAGACTTGGTACTATTTTAAAATTTGTCCAAATCATTTGGACTACAATGTTAAAAAGTGTATGAGTACACACGCAAATGGGTTTATCTGCATACGCAAATACACATATATACAAATATATAAATGAGCGTCTACAAGAAGCAGTAAAAACCATCTGATTTTTAACTTTCCAGTGCTGCTTTAAGCTCCTTGTGGCTCCCAGGATCTGCATTGTGCCCCTCAGCTCCAGGCTGGCAGCAGGAATCAGCGAGAGCCCTGCCATGGCTATTCATAGAGCTCTGTGAAATGAGTTGGTCATCTGGGTTTATCTGCAGCCTGACAGGTGTTCCCAGCCCCAAAATCTCCATTGCCTCCCATCCTTCCCATGGGAATGACTGAGGAACAAATCCTGCAGTGGGTTTAGTTGTTGGTTCTTTAGGCAGGAGCTGGAGATACCCAAGATACATTTCTTGTTTGTTTGAAGTTTGGTTTTTTGGGTTTTTTTCTGAAATATTCTGTTTCAGGAGCTTTAAATGTGCTTAAAAATGAAGTGGTAAAATGCTTGAAAATTCTTTTTTATGTTTCTAAGCAAACCTTTATTCTTTCTTTTATTACTCTGGTTAAATTCAATGCGCTGTTTATTTTATATATTTTTATTTTCCAGAAAATGTTTTAAAGTAAGCGAGCAGTATTTAAAAAATTCTCATCCTGCCACAATATCTGATAACCAAAACTCATAGAAGCAATATATTAATTCATTACTTTGCTATGAGGTTAAATTGAAGCTTGGGCTAAAAAAATATACATATTGTCATAATTTTTGCTTAGTCTACATTTTCAGTGGCATTAAATGCAGAATTATTTTGGTGTCTGAGTAATCTGAAATGTAAATAGCATCTGAAATATGAGGGCCCTTCATTTGCAGCATCAGTGGCGTGGCCTCGCTCAGGAAAATTCCCAAGTGAGGGAAGCAGAACAGTTGTCAATTGTTTGCACAACAAATCCTGCTGGATCAAATGCTGATATTCCCAACGTTTGGATCAAGGAAGGCACGAGATAATGTTGCCTTGTACCCCACTGCCAAAGGAAACAAACCCAGCCTAAGTTAGGAGAAAATTTGGCCAGCTACAACCTGGGCCTACATATCAGAAATCCAGATAGTCAGAATTTTCCATTCATGCTGCCTGATGGTTGTAAAACCATCATGGAAATTCAATTTCACTTGGCCAGTTTTAGACTTGGGTTTTAAGCTCTGGTAGATCATTGCCATCATTTTATTTAGGATTATCTGTTGTGACAAGTTAAAGGTTTGGTCAAAATCCGTTAAATGTTTGGGTTTGGCTTCATCCCTGAAGCTTTTACATGTCTACCTCATGTATATTTATATTTATTTATACTTATATATATATGTACATAGGTGACTAGGCCCACCAGAATGAGCACAAATTTCATATGTTTTGGTAAGACTGATGCTGTAGCTTCAGTCTAACCAAAACACCAGAAATAATGAAAATAATAAACATAGCCTTATATTTTTTGTTGTGTTTGTCCCTAATGTATTTAATT